TGCTAGACGGTAGCACATGCTGGTGGATGAGGTTTTTGTATGTGAGTATGGAGATAGTCAAGTGAATTACCTTCCTGAATGATGTGGAGCGAGGAGGATCGAGATCGTGGAAGTTGCAAAGAATGGAAGTACCAAAAAGAAGATGATTGAATGACTTACACGATTATGAAAGACGATCGGGCTTGGATATCGATCTTGGACTAAGACGATGGAGCAGATTTGAACTTGTCCTGCAGACGAGGGATCTGCGATCCGGGATGATCCCAATAGGCGTTACGGAATTGGTTGCGCCAAGGATTCTCTTGATCTGCCATGTCCAACGCCTCTAGCAAGTCAGCTGGGTCGTTAGAGTGTCCTAACCCTGGATACCAAACTCGGTCTTCATGTGGGCGCGGATAGTGGAGGAAGAAGGGATCTAGCAAGATGTCGAGATCACAGTAGCCAGCGATCATGCCGCTGAGTATCATCTTCAAGAAGTTCTTCCAACGCGCTCCAAAGCGAGAACGGCGTTGTTTTCGTTGGCGCCAGAATGTCTGCATGAACCGTTCAGATCGCCTTTGAGCCGGAGGAATCGGGAAAGCATGAGTAGATTCCCACAGAGCTTGTCGATGAGTAGACTCAAGCTCCAGGTACCGATGACCCATATCACGATACCATCCAGTCATGGTGAAATATATCGGGTTCACTGGGACTATGATATTATCCCAAGGGGCTAAAGCATAAAGAGCCTCGATGTGTTGCCGCGAGATCAGCCCAGAAGCCCAAGTCCCCGTAGGCGGAGCTCGTCCATGATTGTAGAAGGGAAATAGAAAATTCCTGGGTTTGGAGTTGTGGTGAAACAACAGCTCAATGGTCATGGTCCTCACGCAAACCATCGCGATCCGCGAAACGGACCATGGAGCGATCTCGGAAGCTACCCGTCGGGAGGGCGCCAGATAGTTGGGAATCCACCGATCCCGTGGTTGCTGGAGTGGCGGAAGATTGTCGAAGTCCACGGAAGAGAAAACTCTGTTAGCCACTTGGCGTGCCGGAAGGGTGATGCTGTTTTCGCTATCGGACGAATGGCGATCCGAAAGCGCAGTAGACTCCGGAGGCGGACTAACAGAGCCAGTCTCGCTGTGTGTCTCCCCTGTTGGCGATACCTCCACGTCTTCTACGCCGCCATCATCTTGAATTTCGACTACGGGGACAGCCGCGACCGGAGTGGATGGGTACGAAAGATAACGAGGCTCCGGAACGTCTGGAGAAGGCGAACGCAACAGTGCTTGAGCCAACGCAGAAGCTGCGTGAGAAGCGGGAACAACCCGAGCGGCCAGAGAGGGGTTCGGGGTCGAAGATCGGGCATCCGATCTAGGTTGACGACGAGAGGCCGATCTCGATTGGGATAATGCAGCACGAGTCAAATCATCCGAGCTAGAATCCGACTCGGTCAGCTCCTCACTTCCCGATCCAGTCCCAGAAGCCGCGGACGAAAGCGGAGAACAAGAAGAATTGGGTGGAGGCTCGGGTGGGGCCAATCCGGGAAGTTTGTTTAAAGGTGTTGAAGGGTTCAACGACAATAGCCGGGAAGCCACACGGGCGGTGGAAGAATCACTGGATTGTGACCTTGGTTGAATACGCCGACGCTTGGCAGGCGGGCCGGACGATCTCGGTCTGGACCTACGGGCAAGCGATCTCGATCCCGGGGTAGTGGGAGCAGGGGCCGATCCGACCGGAGTAGCACTCTTAGGCGTCGATCGAGCGATCAACGCAGACGACCGGGATCCGAGTATAGCACTGTTCAGTGTGTCGAGGAGAGCTCGGTGTTCAGCTATAGCCTGATCCCGATCATGCTCCACCACCTGCAACTGGTCGTATATCTCGAGGTGTTCCGCAAGCTGACGACGTAGGTTGGCGTTCTCCGCCTGCGAAAGTGCCAACTGACCCTCTAGGGGAGTCAAACCATCCACTTGTTGCATGAGATCGCTGATCGAAGACAGTCCATCTGCGATCTCCTCCTGAGACTGAGCCAATTGCTCCTTCAAGTGCAAAAGATCTATGTGAAGGAAGGATTTGTCCATGGTCAGCTGATCACGCTGCTGTCGGAGAGAGTTGAGTTCGGCTTGGAGCGAATGAAGCTGAGCCCTCAAAGCATCCACCTGTCGTTCCAAGTTCCCCTGAGCCTCGTCGTTGGCACATATCAAAGTGCGTAGCCGACGAATCTCCTCCGATTGATCTCGATATGTCCGCAGAGCTCGATGGCAATCACTCAAAGAATGCACTGCGTCGACGTAGCGGCCCTGCATCCAGTCATATCGAAGCTGGACGAAGGAGACAAAAGGAGCGGCTGATCTGTATAGCGAATCAAGCTCGTCTTGTAAGCGATCCCCCCGGACGACGGCATCTCGGTAGGATTGCTGGAGCGCATGAATGGTGTCGGCTTGGCTGCAGAAGGTAGCCTCTCGATCCCACAAATACGAGATCGTGGCCATCGTGAGACGAACGTCGTCGGCAGAGACTCTGGGAACGAAGTCGGTGACGCCCACAGCTGGAGCAGACCTTTCACGAGATTCATTAGCGGCCGGGATGTCGGATCTGGACGCATCTGGGGCCGCCGGAGGAGTGGGAAGCGGGAATGGCTCGGAGGAACGATCTGATAATTCCGCGGCGGTCGAGAGTGATCCGACCGATCTGGGATTACTGAGAGACTCATGTTGATCTGGGACGATAGGAGCATACCACCCGCGATCTGGCGATCTAGATGGCGAGTCTCGGGATGGAGACGAGGGTCTGGTCGGCTGTCGATCTGGCGATCCTGTGGGGATTGTGGGCGATCCGGTTGGGCCTAGATGGCGCGGAGACCCAGGCCGATCGGGGACCGCTGGGGTGTGTCCTCCGAGATCGGGCGATCCGGGCGACAGGTCGCGATCCGGAGACAGAAACATGGTGGGTCCTTCTGATGAGATCAGCGAGGTGGGTGGATGCGTCGGGGAGGCCATGAGACGGACTTGAGTGCTTGAAACGAAGTTGATGAGTGACTGTACTGAGGTCAATTGCTGTACAAAAGACTTCAGTACAGGGGGCGGTTGTGGCAAAGTCACTACTCAAATTTTGTACGAGGATCGGTGGCCACACCTTTAAAGCGCCGCTTACTGGTGGAAAAGGAGGCCATGAGACTCGGCGATCCAATACGGAGGTGGAAGATGATCTTAACGGGATCGGCGAACTGGTCCAACTGTCGTTAGACTAATGGGTGTGAATCGACCTGGGACGGAGCGATCTGGAATGATTTACATGGAACAATCTGGGACAAGGATCTGGGACCGGGTGATGGGATATGACTCTGCGACGAAGGTGTAACACCTTGCAGAATGTTATGGGGCGATTTGGAACCAGACGTCGGGATGAAGTCATACAGCTCATTGGAATGCCGGTCAAGAAGAAGTATACGTACATTGAAGCAGGCTAAGATCAGATCGCAGATCGGCATGTTGTGGCAACGGTTTGTTGGAGAATTGACACATCTGGGACAAGGCGACTCCCCAAAGTGCATCTGGGACCAGGTGGTACAGGTCGGTGAATCGGCAAAGAAGGCGCAACACCATACGGATCGGTGATACTCTTTACCGATCCTAAATTGGGAGTACTGATTTTGGTTAATTATACGCCGATCTGGAAGTTTTGCATACTCAGGGGAGTCAAGGAAACCGATGTCGAGACGTATGAATGAAGTGGTCGATTGGATAACACTGGAGGATGATATTGAAGCACGTATGAGGAGATAAAAAGTGTTAATTGTAGATTTAGACCGGATCGACCTCCAACATCTCGATATTGGATGACAGATCGGTCATGTTCCACACTGATCATGAATATATGGTTGATGAAGACACTGGATCATGTGTAATATACTTGGTAGAGGTCACTAAGTGATGTCAAGAAGTTTCATGCCGAAAGAGCCAGTGGAAGCTGTCCGAATTGACGTCGCAAAATGGATTTAGACGCCTTCGGCATTTGGGCACTATTTTGGGCTTTTGGGTACCAAAAATGGGTATTTGGTACCCCATTTGGGATTTGGTCCTCTTTTGGCGTTCAGGTACGGTATCGGGAATATTGGCGCTATCATTGGAGTACAGGGCACGAAATTTCGACACGTGGCAAGGGGGCGATCCAGATTCAAGGCGATATCGGTTTGAAGAGTGACCTACAGTTAAAAATAGGCTTAAGGGTAGGTTGGATAGTAATTTGGTTGGTTAATAAACAGACTTGAACTCTACTTCTTCTGCTCACGACGCACGTTATCCTCCCCTCTTCTCCAGGCAAGATTGATTTGGCTTCCCCGGCGGGTTAAGGCACGCGTGTTACAAGGACACAGAAGACCGATCTTGGATTGTTGGCCAAGATCGAGAAGAGCGATCCCGGGATATCTGGCCCGGATCGATCAAGTACTCACAATCAACTCAACTGCTAGGGTAGCAGCACACAACGGAACAGGAAAAGGATTTTGGACACAGGATCGCGAGACGGCTCAAGTGGTCAGAAGATCTGGACAAGGCGTTCAAGACAAGACCGAGCAGGATCGAAGCGATCCCCTGGACAGATCGGCACGTTTCATTTTGGCGAAACAAGACATCGATCTACCCAAATTGCGCACTTCCGGCAAGATCGGCCGATCCCAAGACCAGATCGGACCGATCCCAAGGCAAGATCGACGCAGGACTTTTATTTGCTGAGTGAAGATTTCCGCACAGCAAAGACCCCGATCTCGAAGACAAATCAAGATCGGTGCGATCCAAGATCGGGATCGCAGAACCCCCGTTCGTGGTGTGAAGATTTCCGCACCAGAAGCGAACCCTCAACCCAACCTCTCAGCGAGATCGACATCTCCCAAGGCCGTTACGAAGAGCTCAAGCCAGCCCAACCGACGGGTACACAAGGTGAGCACAAGGTCATACAACAAGGCACGGATCGGAGTACCCCCTCCGTGAGTCGGCAAGTCTGGGCAAGTGGAAGATCGACACTCATACAAGCAATTTTGTGAGATCGACTTCACCACAACTGTTAGCGCCCGAGTCGTGCGACCTCGAGCGCCTTCGCTTCGGCGATGGTTCATCTGATTCATCAGATGAACCAAAGATGCTACGACGCATAGCATCATCCATGCCACGCTTGGCAGGCGGCTTGGATTCAATCGCCGTCGAGACGGAACCGTCTTCCGTATCAGGAGAGTATGAGACACCGAGCTCATACTCTGTGAAGACATGAGTATTTTCATGACCAGCGCCTGCATCACCAAGTGACACAGGCTGAGTCGCTTCAGCAACCGATAAGACATCAGTTGCTGTGGTTTCTGCTTCGGCGTCCGCACAGAGACGTGCGGACGCGCTCTCGGCGGCCTTGCTCGCGCATCGCATGGGCTTGTTAACCATGCGATGAGATGTTGGAAAGTGGACTCGGACCAACAAGTGCAAACCCTGTCCCAAATGATTTGGGACGAGTATCCATTTAGTCAATCAGTCACTAAAGTTACTGATGGTTAAGGGGGGGGTGATGTAACGGGGTGAATCGTTACATAACAATTTATAAGAAATTGTTATTAGATTGTAACTATAAGAGTTATATTCTCAGAATGTTGTCATAAGGACAATATTCTGTAGCACTTCCAAGTAGTTCCTAATTGGTTGATATAGGCCATTATGTCAACCAACGAAGACGCGCCACGACAGACGAACGCAATGAGTGGTGAGCAGATAGTTGATATACACACCTTTGTATTTAGACATAGTTAGATTAGGATAAACAGTGATTTATTGCAGACATTAACTATTATAAATACAGTTCTACTTTTTACTTTAACCAAGTACTCGCTTCTTCTTACCGTCTTACTCTGCACGTACGAGTGTACGTGAAGTTCCGAGGCACCGCCTTATTCTGTCATCAGAATAAGTAGCTTGTACTGTTACCAGTACAAGCTTCAGGGTGCCCCGTTACACCAGTAGTGTACAATGCTCAATATCCGTCATTTCACTTTGAAACTATCCATACGATAGCGACACGTGGTCCGGGCGCAATCGTACAAGGTACGATGCTCGTTCTCGTGGGCCTCCGAGCCATACCATTTTCGAGCCTCTACCCCCTCAACAGGCCTCGGCGGAGATGTTGCTTGATGTTGCAAGCCCTTTTAAGGTTGGATACTTGCTCTGGACCCCAAACGCCAGTAGTGGCCGGAGCTGGTGATGAAAAGTTACTCGCCCGTCCAGGCAAGACATTGTCAGGAACCGCGCCATCGTCGCTGCTCGTAACCGCAGAATTCGTCGTCTCATCCAAGGGGGCCCCCTCACTGGGCCCGCCGTCACCTACAAACGCGCTCGTTGTACTCTCTATCATTGACGAAGTCGGCCGTTCTGAGTCAGTGATACACCTCCAAACGTATCAGCCAATCATCAGGCTTTGCGCACCCGGGGTCTTTTTTAGAAAACATTATAAGATCTGTAAAGAGTATCACCGATCCGCATGGGGCTGCACTTCCTTCGCAGAATAACACCCCATCCCCTGGTCCCAGATACACCTTCACAGAGTTACTTGGCCACAATATCCACGACCGTTGCCATGTCCAGTTAATCCGACGTTCCAATGTCCGTCAATCACAAGACTTTAGCATATAGATTTGCGATCCAGTCTTCACCGGCTTCATTATGCGTATCATTGTCCTCGACCAACATTCAGGTGAATTGTATGACTTTGTCTCACTCCCTTTTCCCAAATTACATCACGAAAAGCGTCTTTTTCTGCGCCTCGTCTGGATCGTTCCATGAAAATCCTTCTATTTGTCGTCTTGTCCCAGATCGGTCCATAGAAGCTATTCTGGTTTGTCGCCTAGTCTCAGACATCGCCCCGTCTCTGTCATCGTAATGGCAATCGGATTAGCTCGATGATACCCGTTAAGATCGCCTTACATCTCCCATTGGATCGCTAGATCGCCCGTTGTTTTTTTCTGCCAGTAAGCGCCGTTTCCACAGGGTGGTCACCGATCCACGTCCCAAAAAATTAATTAGTGACTTTACCCACTTGTTGAATCCTTTAGACTAGTTCTTTAAAACTAAGTTTATCGTTGAGCGTAAAGTCTTCCTCTGACTTGAGGAGATGTGTAGCTCCGCTAAAGTTTCGGACCCACCGCGAAAGTTGCCCAACCCGAACGCAAATTTGTACTTGCGCGTTATGAGAGCAGCAGTGACTGTTCAGCTACTATGGCTTTTCAAATCTGGACTTTTGCTAACTCTATTTACAACTACTTAGTCCTGACTGACTGATGGATGTACGGAGAAGTGCCGGACAGGTATTACAGGAGGTCGAGGAGAGTATCCATAGCAGTTGTATTTATAAGATCATTCTATATTATGGTACAGGAGCTGAAACTGTAGAAGAATTGCATATATTATGCATTATTAATCGGAAGACGGCATAGCAATGGCATCGATCATGACGTTAGTTTAACTACTCATGACCATCCAGTATAAGTTTGCACGGATCGGCAAATATTCATTCCTGAATAATTCCGTACATTGCGCAGTATCTTCGAATACCAGATCTGTATCATGTCGTTCTGAAAAGTGCACTCTTGTCAAGAGCAATACGTAATCGGAGAACTGTGTAAAATAAGGTACGAAAAATAGTGCAAAAGCTCTTTGGAACATTATGCGTAGGTAAACAGTACAAGAAAAGTGGTGTAATAACTGGAATTTGGCAAAAGGGTGTGAATATCAGGTTTGACAAAGGGTACGAATTTAAGAAAAAGGGGTGCGATTAGATCAACTCCCGATTTTTAATCATATTCGCTATCATGGCGATTGCTGGAAGGCGATGAGATACGAAGGCCGAGAAAATGGAGAAGAAGCATAGTTCAGAGGTTGGTCACACCCATTGATAGCCACATCCATTCTCTCTGTCAATCTGGTGTTTATTTTTGTGGATCACACTGCACTCAATAGAGGCGTACTTATGCATGTCACAGGTGTCCACATAATATCTATGGTGCTTCTTTACTTTTTTATCCAAGAGAAAGCATGTGCAAGTCCACCGTCGTCAAAGAACGGTCTTCAAATCTCTTTTGTAGATTCATCCCGTGACGTTGGTTGGCCTGAAGCTGGATACATTGATAGTATTTACGGCGTTGTGCGTATCTGTTGCGGTCGTCAGTGGCGCAATTGCTGAAGATGTTTTATCCACATCATAAGGAAACCGTGATGTACTAAACGTTTTGTAGGCACTTTATGGTCATGTTTTCTAGACTTTACCACCGGGAGTGCAATCACCAGGATGCTAACATAGCCATTCCTGCTAAACAGAGACATGGTAGTTATGTGGCATGTCTTGGTACGCATGGAGTAATTGTGTCCGCTAAAGAGGTTTGCTGCGTCAAATTTATCCACTCTATGTAGGCTTTGTCCACGCATTGTTAATCCCTTTGCTCTATCAATTTTCGCTTTGTAAAATATCGCCTGCCGGCAATCGCCATAATAGCGAATGCGATTAAAATTCAAAGTGGGTAGGTATATCAAAATTAGAGCGGCATCATCAGAATTAGATTAGGTATAACAGATTAAGATTGAAAAGTCATATTTGGATTGGCCTAACCAATTCTCCGGTAGAATGACCCACTCGCGACCAGTATGTTTAACCTTTCCCTACATCCCTCATCGGTGGGGTGATTTAGGAAAATTGAGGGCTGATTGACACTTTTTACTGATGAATACACCTACTGTGGTGCCGAGCGCAAGCGCAGAGATTTGTCGAGATTCGGTCTCCTTAGTTTTGGACCTGCTCTATTCTGCATTTCAGTTTCGTCAATTTGACCTGGTAAAGTGAAGAAGCTTGGCGAATGTATCCATGTGCCCGTCTATCTAACCTTCTCCCACAATGAGAGAGATTGATCAAGACGACTTGGCAGCCACCAGTACCGCACTGTATCAACGCTGATAGAGGCAAGTGGGGTCGAGCAAAGTAAGCAAGTGCAATGTACGCCCCATAGTTGTTCAATGTACCTCTTGTGGCTGGTTGATGATAGCCGCAATGAAAAGAAATTTAACACAACCACGGTAGCATTAGGGAGAGTAAGCGAAGATCGAGTCCCAGCCAATTATGTATTCTTTAACAGGATAGCTCGTCGAATGACATGGTCGTATCGACACTTCAATGCTACTTGACTGGCGCTTGAAACCTTTTCAGTATCTCATCCACAAGCTTAGGGTTGACTTGTTGATTAAACCGCCTTATCACATCGTTACTAACGTAGGCAGACCTATGCCAACGATCAAACACACCCTCTCGTACCTTTTCGTTCTTCAGGATCAACCTGGCATCCTCATTGGATAGAGCAGTTTTCGTGGTCAACTTTTCGATGACATTCTGGCTGAGTCGTTTTTTGTCAGCGCGTGTCATCTTGTAAAAGTTGTCCACCTTTTGAGTAAAGTCGCGGTAACGTTTTCCGCCAAGGCCAGTCGTCTCGATAAGTTTGGGCAGCGCACCAAAAAAACTTCTGAAAAACGCTGTCGCTCTTTCTTCGGTGTTGTCGTCCGTGACTTGCGTGCCCCTTAGTAACGGAGAGCTCGAATCATCTTTTCCCAACACATCAAAGGGCTTGGCTCCAGCTGGAGCGGGCCCAAGACTTGACGCCTTCTCGACCGCGTCGGCTGCCGCGGCAGAAGCGAAGAATGCGGCAGCCGCCAGTTGCATGACACGGCGTATTTGCATAGTCTGGGCGGTAGCACTGACTTCGATGGTTTGGCAGCGGGATGAGTTGTGGGACCGAATTGAAAAGTGAGAGTCCAGGGTGATGTACTCTTTCAACGTCGTCTGCCTTTGACGATGCAAGCTCAATTCGCGGCTGTCCTTGAAGTTCGAGTCAGTCGTCCGTAATCGAACGGAACTACAACCCTACTTCTAAGTACTATCGTAGACTATTCAAAGAATGACCTCGAAAGACACGTGCTCACGCTAGCCCATCTTGCTCTTTGCACGCGACTCTGGAAAGAGATGCGACACCTCCCTCTCTCGTCGATGCGTTGTGCCTGTAGCTACATCTCTGATAGTGTGCTTGATGTGCAGAGTGGCAGTTAAGTCTGGACCGTACATGGCAGGTTCTTGTAAAGATAAATGAGTGTAAGCCAACGACGGAAGAGAAACGTTATTTAGCCACCACCCTTATGTTTACCAGCCACCACCTTCCAATAATTCATACAACGGCTGTGTAAAAGCTATGAACAGATTTTTGCAATGTATAAGAACGGGTGCTATTAAACTCGACGGGCGTTCAGCGTTTGATCTACATGGATGGCAACACTACGTTTATATACTTATGTTGTTCATTCTGTAGCTAATAGACGAGCAAGAAGGAATGGGACAGGTTCTCCAAGACGAGTAAAGCGTGATGGTCTCGGTTTTACTTCCGCGTGGGCACATAAATCTGACGTAAGTAGACCGAATATACTGATTTACGGGCCGCTATTTACGAAGATAGGCAAGTGGTCCTTTCATGAGATCAAGGGCATTGTGCTGGGATGTGCGAGTTGATGACAAGGACTCGGTATCACAAGCTGAAGAATGAAGACGAAAGTGTCATCAATCAGTTTGTCAAACTCATGAGTCGTAATTGACGCGAAACGAGACGGAATTGCCGAGCTTCACCTGGCCTAGAGCAAACACCTATGCTACGCCTGGCACAAGCATGTCTGTAAGATTGTTTTCGTGTTGCACTAAGAGGTTTGACTAGGAGCAGTGTGAATTGTTTTCTTATGGCATTATATTTGCATTACCTACCCTCTTTGTCCGTTTGGCTGCTACGACATTGTCTTGTCGTTGTGCATGGGTTCGATTAATGCCTTTACTTCCTCCAACAATCGTACGCGATCTGGGCGGTGGTCCAAGACTTTCCATAGAAGTCAGCAATGAATCAACCAACCTGATGTAAATTTTAGATGACAGCACACAAAAAGCAGACACAGGTGTGACGATAAAAGATTTGAGCTTGAAAACACCCAGCCTACTTTTTATCCAATAAAATGCAACGTTTTTCGAGAATTAATGTGACCTTGTAAAAATGGTTGGTGGGTGGTGGCTGATCAACGAAAGAGTGGTGGCTGAAACGATACCCTCTACGAAATTCTCTACCGCGTGAAAGCATGTGTAAGCTCGGCGCCGTCTTCGCTCTTAAGCTAATGCCCACTAAAAGGCTGAATAAAAGTGGACACGAAAACGGCTCCTTGAAACGCCGTGCCAAAACGAGGCGAGTGTATTCTGCTGTTGCACACGTCGTTGTGTCGGCGAAGAGGCTTAAAGTTTACAGACCACATGGAGCCAAGGAACTTACGTACCCACTGAATCTTTGGCTTGCCAAGGTTTTACACAACCGCATGTGCGAGGCTCGTGATGTCGCCATCATTTAAATGTGTCTGCGACACTAGCTAACGAGTATCAAGTACTGAAAACGAGTAAGCCCGGTCGAGGTTATCCACACTCTGTATTCTGAGGCATGAGTCGGTCTTCGTAATTAGGATCATGACTGTCTTTCGCCTAGCAATGACCACCTTCCCTCACAGCCCCACCACACAAGGACCCGATTGGAATACCAGTATATGCAGACTGTCCCTCGATAGGTGTCAGGAAATCAACACACTGGGGGACAAACCAAGTCGAAATATCCTTTCCATCTAATGTCTTTCAAATAAACGCGGTGCACGAACGACCAAAGTGTCACCCAGCAATCGACGCGTGCTTGGCGACTGTCATTACGATCTCGTTTTGGCCAGAGAAACTGCTCTACTACTCCGTATGTCCGTAATCACGATTGGCACTTAGCCAGTACACGTCTGTGAGTCGGTCGAAAACCATTTCGCAGGAGATGCGACAGCGTCCACGACAACACTTAACGATAAGTCTTACCATAAAGCGGATACAAAGGCGTATTAACAAGCTGGCTCAGATTGACCAACTCGACGCGCTCCAGCGATCTCGCGACAAGGTCGTGCTGTCGCTAGCCCAGTACATTGCACTTGCTTCGCCGAGAGGTTGAGCTTCTAGTTGACTGACACGAAGTGCCGTGGTCGATATCCCGTAGTTCGCTGATGTCTGTCGACCGAATTCCCCTAGACATTCTAGGCGACCACGGATGTGGACTACTACTACAGGCACATACTTCATCAAAATACACGATGATTATTGCGGGCCCGAAGGGTGAAGCTATCAGTGAGTGTGCGCAAGGTTGGTTGCCGAACTTTTAAATCGTACTCACCTGTCTGTGTTTGTGTGTCTGTCTGTGAACAACGCGGTTACGTGTACCTTACGCGTACTAATCCGATCAAGCCTGTTCCGTTCTCACAGATATGTAGGCATATTCAAAGTCGGTATTTGGCGAGATCACTGTTGTGGCGCATGTGATTGGCTCAAAATTGATCAATGGTGAACATGATTACACACACAAATGCTGGACGCTCATTCGGCAACGGCTGGCCGCGTGGCCTAACCTACTATACTGATTTAACACAGGCAGTAAAAGTATCATACTCATTTTTCACTGACTGCTAAAGCGTATTGTCTTGCAACTCGATTCAGTTCTCCGAACTGAATTACTAATAGCAAATAGCGAGCTCCAGAGCTTGCTCCTCTGTCGTATTACAGTCATCACCTCAACCTAGTACGGGCTCTATCAAGCACTATGGTGTCGGGAAAAATTCGCTGCGGATAGGAGTGCGTGTGAGATCGGTCGCCGAGCGGCCTCAAATAGATCGCTAAGCAGCAGCGTACAAGCGAGTCTTCCAGATATTACCTATTGGAGGTATCGCGGACGCAATAGGACATCCAAGCTGGACCTTTGTACTGCGATGTTGCACGTGTCGGGCTATCAGTGGAGGAAAGTTAAGTGGTGTGTGTCGAGCTGTGTGTGAGGCGTCCGACCCGGGGTCAGCGGTCTGGGTCGGACCACAGCCCATAACCGAACAAGTCGGGTCAAACCCCGGGTCGTGACCCAGCAGAACCCGGTCCGGGTCGACCTAGCAGAACACGGTCCGGGTCGACCTAGCAGAACACGGTCCGGGTCGATGCCCTCGATCAGAAACCCGCTTTGCAATGTCAGTAAAATGCATCTGTATCACTGTCTTTTTAGTAAAAAGCGGGACGCAGGAGCAAAATTCTGAAAAGATTGTGTCGGGGCTGATTTTTCTGTCATTGACAAGACCGAAAAGGTCTCTCCAGTAGCAACCTCGAGAAAAAGTCGGATATTTCTCGAGGATCCACATCCCGTCCAAGTACTCGCTCGAAATGGACGTGGGTACAGCAGGCAGCAGCAGCAGCTCAAAAGGTCCCGGCGCCTTCACTGGCTCGCAGGCGCCTCAAAGCGCATTCAGTAGCAACGATGTCTCGTCTGTAGATGTAAAAACCGCCAGTGCTCACGCCGTAGCTGCAGACGAGACGCCTGTGACACTTGCACAGCTGCACGAGGTGGTCAAGTCGCACAAGGAGTGGGTGAAGCATATCATCTTTGACGGGGACGGGAATATCCTTTTGAGCAACATCGAACCGCTGGAAGGCGACGTTGCGTACGTTATCCGGAGCGTGTGTTCCGAATGTATTTTTGACTCTGGACGTCAATAGTAACCTAACCCTGGTCTTCTTTTTGGCATGACTACTTTTGGTGATGCCCATATTTCGACCCTTATTTGGTATTGCTAGCGGTTTGCTAACCCTTTACAACAAGCGTGAAGATACAATGGCGTCAGGGATTGTACTGCTTCACGAGCAGTACGACGTGCATCGGTGCGACGTCTTTATGGATTTTGCATCGATGACGCAGTCGAAAGAGTCTTGAGTACTGCTGGAATTGACGATGTGTCGATGAATATTAATCGTCACTTGATGGATACGTTTGTTGTCTGTTGTGCAGGTTCCACCCGCCACTTGTGTACGGACGTCGGGGGGACCCGTCGGTAGAGGAAGGGGAGGGTATTGCCGTGTGCAAAGTGGTGCAAGGCTGTCGCACACTGTTCTGTCTCATCACTTATGTCTACCCGACACTATCGGCTCGTGCCGTTCCACAACTGAAGGAGTTCTGCGAGACACAACGTGAGCTGCTTGCTTCGGTTGTTCAGCAATGACGGTGGTAACGTGGGCCTTGAGTACTTACGCTCGGTTTATGTGTGTCTGTAGTCGTGCGGCTGGGTTGATGCAAAGCTGAAAGATATGGTGGGGAAAGTAGAGCGGAGTGCCGAGAGACTGCTGCTTGCGAGGTCTTTGACGCTGATGCAGTTGGCTTGATCAATACAGAATCGAATCTTTGCACGCTAGCGAGTTGTTGTGGCCAGGATCGGCTTTGTACTTGGCGACAGCTTTCCACTATCGACGCGTCCGAGGATTTGAAAATGATTGCAGTCTTCGCCAAAGTGGACGCCGCATGTAGCCAACGATGGTCCGGTTTGCATTCGTTCCGTGGCTCGGACGATCGCAGATCGTAATGAATGCAGTAATGTGGTACATCTGCACGACGGTGGAAGACCATTGTGGCAACAAGACTCGATCATGTGGATTTTGATTGCAGATTGAGCGTCCATCTTCCTTGATAAGCTTTGACGAGGCAAAGTCGAGACCCTTCGCACGTGTTTTTATCATGACTTCAGTTTGCGACGGTAGTCAAAACCGCTCCATGGTTGTGGCGTGATGGACAACCCAAGCGCCGAAGGCTAAAAAACTGATGATGTAACGATAAAATAGCTACATCGAGTCGTTTAGTGGTCGCTAACGAAGGAACAGTTCAATGTGATAAAGGTATGTGCCAGGCTGGCTTGACTGTGATATGAAGTCACGTCACGACATGGAGCGGTATCAATTGCTAGCAACGGCTGAAGAAGCTACATTTCACCCCAGTCAGCGTCGTCGTCGTCTTCGAACTGGATGTCAGCGTTGTCCAGTTCGAAGTCCAATAGCTCTCCGGTGATGCCAGCAGCCATCGACGTTGTTGGCGTAGAAGCAGTCACGTCTGGACCGGAATTCTGGGAGGATGAAAACGCATTCTGACTGCTGTATACCGACCGAGTGGAGCCTGAGACGAGGTCCAAACTGCCATCAACACCGCCGAAGCCGCTCGGTGTCACGCTGTCATGCTGTTGCTGTTGCCATTGTGGATCAATCTCTGCTTCGGCTTGCGCATGTGCGGTAAAAGCAGCGGCAGCGGCTGCTTCCTCCTGCATAGCTCGAGCGCGTCTTTCAGCCTCGACGCGCTGCCACTCTTCCTCTGCACGGGCTAGAGCCTCGACACGCTGCAGCTCTTCTTCTTCTGCACGAGCTTGAGCCTCAAAAAGCTGCCTTTCTTCCTCCGCACGAGCTCGAGCCTCAAGAAGCTGCCGCTCTTCTTTCGCACGGGCTTGAGCCTCAAAAAGCTGCCGCTCTTCTTCTTCCGCACGGGCTTGAGCCTCAAAAAGCTGCCGCTCTTCTTCTTCCGCACGAGCTTGAGCCTCGGCTTCCAACACCGCCTGAGCCTCAGCTTGCGCCTGAGCTGATTCCGCAGCTGCTGCTAATTCCGCTGCTGCATGCGCCCGCGCGTCAACGTCAGCTGCCGCCATCGCCTCTGCTTGTGCAAAAGATTGAGCTAGAGCTCGCGCTTCAGCTTGAGCAAGGGCTTCCGCCTGAGCTTCTGCTTCTGCATTGAACATACCATCTTTGGTATACGCTTCGCAAGCACCGACAGCAAAAGTCGCTGCAGCGCCTCCACTCAAGATTAATTCAAGAATGTTCTCGCTCTCGAGCATCTCCTTTTTTGCAGCGTATGCTGACGCCGGAGCCATAGTCTCATCGCATCCATTGTGAGCAAGAAGCATCTCCTCAGCCTGCATGGAGAGCTGCAGGTTCTCAAACAAAGCAGGATTGTGTGCAGGGTCGGCCAGTGCCTTGGCAGCACGGGAGCTGACAGCAGCCAGATCTTCTCGCCACTTGTCCATTACCAGCTGCATCTTAGACGGGCAATAGCTGCGAGCGAAAAAGGCGGCTTCTGGGAACCGCTTGGTTTCCTTCAGCACTTCAACACAGTCTGTAGTTCTGCCCAGCAGTAACCAGCATATGAATGCTATGTTATAACGGCGCTTTTCGCGAGCAAGTCCAGCAAGACGAACAAGACCATCCTTGTCTCCACGACTTGTATACAAAATCAGCAGTAAGCTAAAGTCGTCAGCGCGAAGGGCACAATCCTCAGCCAGAGTTAGTTGGCAATCGTTAAGTGCAAGATCCCCCAGCTGTTTCCACTTGTGCTGAGTCTCGATATCCACATCCTTGCCATCCTCTCCCTTGTCAATTTCCTGCAGCATGATATCACGTGCCACGTCCAGCTTTGCAAGCTGCACGGCGAGGTCGAACTTTTGGTCTGGATCAGTACTTAAAGCCAAAGCCTCTTCTTTAAACCCCTGTGACTCCAAAAATCGAGCCACATAGTCCATTTGATCTGCCGGAATATTAGGCAATATGGCATTTGCACTTTCAAAGTCTCGACGCACCACAGCAGTCTGGTACTCCAGCATGACCAACGAAACAGTGTAGCTCACTACGTTCTTCATTTTGTCCATAAGAAACACCAAGCTTTCGCGCGGAAGGTACCCGAGAATATACATCTTCTGCTCCAGGTGAGCGAGCGTCATGACCTCACCACCGACGTAGTAGTTGAGTCTGCCACCGGCGTTGGTGTACAAGAAGCAATCTCCGACCCACGTGCCGGTGCCCACCTTCTCAGAGATTTCGTGCAGCAGATCGAAGGCGCCGTCAACGCCTTCTTCGGGTGAATTTGTGCCAGCAGCAAAAGACTGTGCCACCACTTCTTTGTTGTATCGTAACACGAAAAAACTCGACTCGGACGCAAGCACAACGAGACTGCCGTTTTCAGACCAAAACACATTTTTGACCACCACGTCAATCTTACGAATCAGTCGCAGCTCTTCCCAATCAAACATAGCAATGGCGTCATTGCCTTTAACGCCGATGGCACCTGTACCTCCGAACAACCCTTCAGCAGAAAGCACACGAGGCTTCTCACTTTTCACCTCCTTGAAATTACGAAACAGCGTGAGCTTTGAAACGCTCTCACGTACCACGTAATCACCTGTGCCAGTTGGCGACCAGCTGAAGTCCAGTGCGGCACCAAAAGCCTTGTTACGCAACTGCTGTGCTGTGTAAATAATGTACTCGCCGTCGCCGCAGACAACCACATAACGGCCATTGCTGTTGTGTTGTACCTTCTGCGGGTATACTTCGCAGCTCCCCAAGTCTTTTGAGACGAGCGGTAGCTTTTCACCGTCCTGAAGACCCATTTCAGCCACCACGCCCTTCAAGCTAGCGGTGTGGACGTCATTGTTACTTGTCCAGATAAGTTTTCCGCTGCCACCAGCGTCCATACTCACGACGGGCGTGTCGTGTCCTAATCTCAACACGATCGTACCTTCATCGTAGCCGATCGCCAGCGTGTTGGCCGATGGTAGTGCTGCAAGCGACCAACTGCGTTCCATGCCGTAATTGAGTGTCGTCTCAGCACGGTACGTCGTCGAATGCCACATCCTCACGGCACCATCTTCACAAGCCGAAATGATGAGTGGGAGCCTTGGGTGGTACAACACCGATGTCAAGTTATTGCCGTGTCCATCCAGCGTGTGGACAATAGCTTTCGTCTGGTAGTCCCACACTTTCACCGTCCGATCATCGCTACCTGAGAGCAGATACGGTTTATCTCCGCCTGGATAATACGCGACACAATTGACCCCTCGCTCGTGTCCGTCCAGTGAAAAGTGTGCGTGACTCGAGCCCAAGCCCCAGACCCGCACAGTCCGATCGAGGCACGCACTCGCGAACGAGTGCGCGTCTTTTGGATTGAACTTGACCATCATAACGTAGTGGCCATGGCCTTCAAACACCTGCGTGCAGGCAAAGTGTTTGTCCCAGTCCCACAACTTGATCGTCATGTCGTCTGCACACGTGAGGAAGCACGACAGCGTCGGGTGCACTTCAATGTGGCGAATGTAGTCACTATGGGCCTCGAACGTCGTGACCTTCTCCATAGTATTGTAGTTAAAGACGCGCACTTGCATGTCGTCAGAACTGGCAACGACCCACTGCTTCCGAGCGACGAACTTGGCATTGCGCACGGGCAGCGACGAGACCTCGAGCGTCTTGACGAGGGACTGCGTCGCGTAGTTCCAGATCATCAACGTGCCCGAGTAGAGCGCCGAGAGCACCCAGGGCTCGGTCGGGTGCAGGTCCACGCTCTTGACCCGCTCAGAGCGGGACGAGAGTTTGCGCTTGATGTCGAGACGGAGCGGCTACAGGGGGACACAGCATACACACACACACACACACACAGAGAGATACACATAGAAAGAGAGAGAGAGAGTACGTTGGGTGGTTAGTAGGGGTTGGGTATAGACTGAAGCATGCTGGATGAGGAAGCGGATCTTTCGTACCATTCTTTTGGAGTGCGACCTGTTGGGTTGACGTCGTTTTGGAGACTGGGGGGCGAGGGAGGCAGGTGCGGATTGGTTGATATGGTGGTGCTTTTGGGTTGTAGCCAGTTAGATGATGATGATGACGGTGGTGATGGCTGGTGCGAGCCTTATGCTGCTTTTATGCTGCGATTGGTGGGTCGAGGGAGTGGCGATAGGGTGGGTATCCTTTGGCTTAACCTGATTGTCTTCTCGGTCGATGGACCGGATAAAGTAGCTGGAGAATGTATGGCATTTGTTTTTTTTTTTTTAAATTGCATGGAGATATCTATGCAATTAAAAAGAACGCGCGGCCGAGAAGTAATGTCAAGGCAAGGGTAGAGTGCAGTACCGGCGCAATGGAATGTGCTTCCGCGCTTTGGCTTCCTTGACTGCACATGGTTAAGACCGTTATTACTACAAAAGTCCATCGAGAGTATTACATCCGCGTTCCAGCGACTTAATGGGCAGACCGTAGTGATCGGGCAATTATGAGTCAATGCAAAATATTCTTCAGTGCTCGGTCTACTTTTCTTGTATCACTTCTGAAATTGTTTGGTAAATACGACCACAGCCAACACGTAATACAAAGAATGTAGCGGGGCTGCTCTAACTCCTTCGTCAGAGAAAGACTTCTAGACTCGTAGTCTCTTAGTATCAAACTTAACGGGTATTGACTTGAAGAGTACTAAGTCTTACAGACTTAGTGAGACTTACTTAACTCTAAGTGTATGCACAAGCTCTTAAGCTTCTAGTCCTGGTTCAGGGGACGACAAATCCAAGGGATCGCGTAGCACTATAATGCCCGAGATTACTTGGTCTAAACTCAGGCCTTTAACTCTTACGAACAGAGACGTCTTGGAAAGACACGTGTCTGAATCTGATGAAAAGGAGAACTGAATATTTGCTGATTCAAAGCGAAAACAAACGTTACTTGCCTTTTTTAATCTAAAAACTATGCTTCCCAATCGATTAGTCATCATCGTAGTTTTTCTTGTGTACCACACTAGAACTACGTCGCATCTACGAAGACCCTATTACGATAGATATCCTCTAACCATTAGTGATAGAGTACGGTGTGATCGATATCCTCTAACCATTACTGATAGGGTACGGTATACTCGCTTAGCGCAAATGAAACAAAAGTATGCCTTATCAGTGATTCTGATCTCTTTCCGTGTGTACCACACCAATGTACCTGGTCATCACGACCATGTGTGTAACCCCGTTACAAAGAACCTTCAAGTATTGCGTACGGTACTGTGCTACTGAGTGTTTGTTTTGATAAACGCTCGTTCATCTCCCATGTCAACAGTTTTGTCACGTCCTGCTAACCGAGTATATTTGTAGCTGCTAAAAAGCGCAAATGTTTAACCTGGTGCGGTGCGTACCTTTGCCTAGACTATCGTCCAACTTTCGTAACACTGCACACATACGTACATGATGATGGCGCTATGAAAGGCGTGTCTAAACCTGGAAGCTATTCGATCATACTTTTGAAGGCTATTTACATAATTTACATCTACGCTTTATCCACGAACTCGCTTGTGTCGTACGGTACATCGCGTATGCACGCGCAAATCGTTTAATAGACCTGATCTGGTCGGTCGGACAGAGCCAGGTTTGTTACTCCTACTTACAAGGCGGTCATCACGGCGCAGCTTCCGTGGTACGTCTGTTGCTTATTCATGACGAGTCTGTGGCTCTCACGTAGACGCACCCGTCGTCGAAGGATGTAATGACAAAATTTATCATGAACGTTGCTTGAGTATGCAACGAAACACTTCAGTTCATTCTACGTCGGTATGGAAACGGTAGCTATGGTATGAACACGCCACGACAAACGTTGCCTATTGCTCACTGGTACCGTCTGCTATTTACAAGGCTAGCAAAAGCTAGGGTGTTAAGACCGATGAAAGACGCCAGTGGCCAGGTCGTGGCGACGTAGGATTGGGGATGCGTACATCCTTCGCTTGACCTGCTTTCGCCCATCCCTCGGCTGCTTGTACTCGTCCTCTATCTTACATCTGAGTACTTAGAAGCTGCGTGTGCTCACAAACTTACAAATTCTAATTTCGAGCGAGAGAGTTCGCTATGATCACGAAGCGATTGATCCGATTATGATGCAAGCGAGCGTACGGACCTAATTCTGAATCGGCTCAAAATCCTTGAACGGGTTACAAAACTTCCTTCTCGGAGAAAAGGTGTACTGGAGATGGCACTGAGACCCTGCACTTGCAAGTAGAAAGCATCAACACATTCCAATTCCGTAGTTGGCATCATAAATGTCATGGTTAGCATTGCGACTGCATGTTTCTGAATTCAATATGGATGCAGTTTTATCCACTCCGTGATGCATGTTTGAATTGATGGAGGTCCCTTGCATCGACGATCGATTATAAAAGGGATAGAGCCTCAGATCACGTTGTAGGTTAACATACTTGACATGCATGAGTCTATGAGACGTCACTCAGGTGCAACACTGCGGGCTTAAACAACACATAACGTTACCACCATCTAACTGTAGCTGTTACAAGCAACGACGTGCGCAAGAGATCTGAGCGTAACCAAGACACTCGTTACACACGTCTCGGCTGTTACAATCTCAGCTCGCGCTTGCGCCTGTCGTATACGTATACGAAATATGGTCTGCGCTGTATAGAGAGCTCGTGGTTATGCCTTTATAAAGCTGTCACTTGTTTTTACACCGTAATTAAAGAGATAAAGCAATTCCAATCGGACCTCTATCCCCAAGGACCCAATTTCGACGCTAATGGATGTCTCAGCTGCTGCTCCGCGCCGCTCGAAGCGGGACCACTTGCCCAGCGCTAAAGCCGCAGCCGCATCGGCCTCCGAGTTCATCTCTCCTGCTCCAACTTCTTGTTCCCGTCGCTCCCAAAGGCGTCGCGTACCCCCCAGTGTACCCCCAGTACCCCCTTCGCTGTCCACAGGGACTTTGTCTGTGTCGTATCCCGTATCGACGTCTCTAAACGATCCTATTGGGCCCAATGGTCAAAGTCGAAAGCTCCGAAAAGATGTGTATACGGCAAGTATTCCAAGTGTATACCAACAGGGGGTACACTCCATGTACCCCATGGGTACCCATCGCAAAGGCAAAGTGCTGGGCAGATACTCGAGCCGTGACTGTGCAGTGCTGTGTGAAGTAATCCTAAGCCAATTGGAAAAACAGACTCTGGCTCTGACGGTACTAGACGAGCCCAAGTCACCAGGTGGGAGCGATATTGGGGTGTATACGTATACATTGTTGACTATAGGGAGCCATAGTAGACTCGCGTTGTACTGATTTAGTGTTTGTTGAACTCTCTCGTGACCCAAAATGTTGCAGCATGTATCAGGTGGGAAGCCGTGGCTGATACAATGAAGACAACACGTGGGGTCTGGATAACGCCCCGAGAGTGTCAAATCGTGTGGAAGTTCTTGGCATACGGACAGCATGCTGAGTTTAAAGCCGGGAAGGAGCTACTACCGGACTCCGATGAGGAAGAGTGTGGCCAAAGTGCAAAGCAAATTAATGCCCGACTAGCTGCTGGCACAGCAAAATTTGCAGGGTCGAAGCTGGAAGGAGGTGGAGCTGCTGCAAAGCACAGCACGACGGTAGGCAAACAGGATATTAGAGCAGGAGAAGGCGTGACAGGAACGAGGAGTGATGGCAGACTACTGAACGACGTTACTGAAGCGAGGTCAATGAAAAGTACCTCGAGCGAAGCAAGTGCACAGCAAACGACCAAGAAGGCTTCTATCAGGTTGTATCCAACCTACTGGCTTCCTACGGGGGCACCGGATGCTTGGCATCGCCCGTTCGGTCCGAAAGACGCGCTGCCGCTGACTTTTGTGGCATCGAGGTTTCTTCGGCGAAAATCAACGCCGCCACCGGCTCCGTCGCGGGTGCAGCAATTGACAATACTGCCAAGTCCAAGCGCTACCGGGCCAGCAGAGCTGAAGCGAAAACAAGCAGACGATGATGCTGAGGCAGCCAAGAAAGCGAAGCTTGTTGCGTAAGCAAACAACTCCTCCGCAATATATTACCGAAAGAATGATCAAACGACAACATGCATCCCGATACATGGTTGATCAATGGCAGGCTAGCAATTGCCCGTGCAAGGTCATCAAAGTGGAGGGGAGTAAAACTGTGCATTTGGCAAAGGTGCAAGCTGGGAAGAAACGATGCACAGATTAAACTTCTTTGACTAGTGACCACTTCGATCGATATTTGAAGCAAGCTTCTACCACTTCGATAGCCTACAACGCCAACGAACGACTCGTGGGTTGTGTATTTCAATCTACAGGCAAGAAGACTAACACCTCCTTGCTGCAAAAATACCTGCGTTGTATCGAGTTGTGAAGCTACTTGAGACGAATATACCGTTATCACGGCTGCGTCAGAACGCTCATAACTAGAAGAACTCGATCGATTTCGAGCCTCCATCACTGACATGCCTTGCAAAGCCACATATCTGGAATCGACTGCAGCGGTGTAAATGCTCTTTTTTAGCAGAAAGTTGTTACTATCCACACATGTTTGTTCGAAACCATCACCTGCCCTACTACAATCGTGAATTGTAGTCGTCTTGGCAGCCAATTGTACAAGGAGCTAGCATAGCTTTTCGCACTTCATCATGTGTTCGTAATTGGAATTTAGGCTGACGAAGCGTCGATGATAACTAGCAGGATGCTACAAGAGCACGTGCTGCTGTGGGACGCTTGCGAAAATAATACGATGTACGGCTAATTGGCGTATGAGGAGTGGGGTCCACAAAAGTAGAAACAGCGGTGCACGTTAAGCAGCACCAAAAAGAGGGGGTCAGGTGTTCGTAGTAGATTCGGTATTTTGTACATGTTTTGATTGCATCCATATTGAAGCCTAACTTACTTGAAGTAGCATGTACTGTATCCCTATTTAACATGAAATTGCCGAGTAGGACTGTGGATGGGGGGACGAGTGGAAGCGGCAGCTGTACCCCATGACAAAAGGAGCAGGTATCAATCTATTTAAAAACGAGGCGATTGATCGTTGATCCGGACCATTGTAGCTTACTGCCGGCGCGTAGGAAAACAGTCGTCGTGATGCCATGCGTGGTCATTTTCTAACACATGCTGAATCGGCTCGTGCTTGAACTTACTGGAGATGATGTCCTTCGCTTGAGTTGCATTAAGGTATACTCATCTTGTTCGCCTCATGTTTGGTTTGCTATTACAAACTTGGCCACGACTTGGGCACACCCCATTTTTGCTGCGGCCACAGCCGCCCGTCTAAAAGAATAACATCCAGTCAAAGCTGTACAGTTGTATGTAGATGCCTCCATCTAGATTGCTGGAGTTGTTTGGCCAAGGGTTGTGGAGCTTAAGGAAGGGAATTATTTCTCCTACAAAAGGTAGAGAACCTTTGCCAAAGATCCGTCTTGGCCGCACAAAAGTGTCTGAGTCCTCCCATACTTATACAATACTACAGAAAATGCCAGAAAAGAGCACACATCAGCTCTTTGTTAATGTAGAGATGCCCCAGCATGCAATTTATAATATCGTTCTGTAGCTCATTCGTTCTAAAATAGCAGTGCCTAACCAAAGCTCACTCGTTCGATACCGGTGTGGTGTACAATCGAAAAATTTAAGCGTTCAGGTACTGGTGTCTGGGGTTCGCCAGCGCTTTTCTGCCAGCAGAGATGTCCCTCACTTTAAGTACGTTTAGGTTTTTAGTAACACACGACCAGAATGAGAAACATACTACTAGACGATTAAAAATGCGCGACAGACGATGAATAACGCACTACCATAATTAGAAACGTACGACTAGACGATTGGTAACACATGACTCGACGGCTCGCATAAAAGAAACTGTTCAGCTAGAAGTGCGCCTTCCACATTTGCATCCGCACTTCGATCACCAGCCGAAGGACCGCCACAAGGAACTTCCGACTTCAGCATTCCGTTTGTAACGGGGTCAAACGTCCGTTATCTTCCTGAAGGGACACAATATAACGGGGTAGCCCGTTACATGATATTGACACGGTTTCAATAGGAATATTGTATAGCACGACAATATCCTACCAATGTTATCCGAGGTGGATAATGTTGAAGGAAAATTATCCCCTTTTGGATAATATTCATGCGCTGCTCCAAGATTGGTTGATATAAGACATATCAACCATAGATTGCCACAAATCGCTGCTAGACGCGCGCAATGAGTGGTGAGCAGGTTGTCGTCATACGGCAATGTAGATATAGTAGGTAGATAAAGATTACAGTTATATTGATAGCTTAACTCTATTAAATACGGTTCTCTTTTCACCCTTTACTTGACCGAGTCGTTCAAGTAGACTAGCTTCCTCTGCAAGTACTCGTGTACGTGAAGTTTCGCGGCACCCCAAACAAAGGGTGCCCTGTTACACCTGGCAGCACTTCGTAGTCCGTCCAACGACTACTTAGTGTCCGTCCAACATGTTCATGTTGGACGTAGAAGACGACAGCTTTCACGTCACACGTGAAGGCTACTCCCATCTGAGTGACTCAGAATGGGATACATTCGGCCGCATGAGTGTGCCCATGGGCGAACCCGCCATCAGTGGCATGTTGAAGTCTCAAAGCAGAGACCAGCAACATGCTTCTATCAACAAGTTCCTACAGGGGGAACTTGCCGTCGAAAGACAGAAGATAGCCTTTCTACAAAAGCAAGGATCTCATCAGTCGATGGGCGGGCCGACGCACATGCGTCGAACCAAAACCGTGAAGATTGATATCTCAAGGTACAAGGGAATCGATGAAGATTCCCTTTTGAGATGGTTCGTCGAGTTAGACGATGCCATGAGGGCCCGTCACATCGAGGGTGACGAGATGCAAGTCACCTATGCCCTGTCGAATTTGACGGGACGAGCAAAGACTTAGGCCTTAGGGCTCAAGCTTCACGACCCGAGCGTGTTTGAGTCGTTGAAGATCTTGAAGTCTCGGCTTAAAGAGACGTTTGAGCCGCCGAGAGCCGAGTTCAGAGCACGCTCTGCACTCTTGAGGCTCACGCAAGGTAAGCGTGACGTGCACGCTTACGCACAGCACCTGCGCTACCTTGCAAGTAGCGTCACGGAAAACCCTGTTGATGAGCATACGCTCATCAACGTGTTCATCTACGGCCTTGTGGATGGGTCGGTGAAGACCCACATGTTCCAAGATGATTTCTATACGCTGGAAAGGGCGATAGCGTATGCGGAACAAGAAGACGTCAGCCTGTGACAGTCTCAGGCTACCTCGTCCAACTATCGTCCGACGAGGCGACAGGAATCAGGAGGTCCCGAACCAATGAACCTCTTTTACATCGAGAGCGAGAGTCCTCGCTCTCGGAGTCACCAGCGAGCGCAAGATGCCATCGCTGTCAGAAGATCAGACACTACGCTCATGATTCCAGTGTCTTAAGTACCGCATCACGTCCAAAAACAGGACGTGATGACCGCCGTTGGCCAAGGAAGGGTCCGAGGCGTGGGTCCGACCATGTCGCCAAGCCGCGACAGTAAATCGGACCGTCAAAAAAACGGTCAGGGTCAGTAGGGGCGGAGCACCCTGCTGATCCAGCAACGTCAAGAGAATTTGCAGGAATCTTGACGTAGATTGCTCCCAACATGCAGTCTCTGTGTGTTACTGCCCTTAGTGATGAGGAGTCTCTCATCACTTTGAAGATCGAAGTGACAAGTGGAATGTCACTTCGCTCCCTAATTGACCGTGGTGCGTCGAACAGTTTCATCCGACGCCAGTCGCTAAGGGATAGTAGTCTCAACTATGTTGAGCGAGAGTTCCCTTTAACGAGAATGACGGTGTGCCTTGCTACAGGCGCATCCGAGACAGTGAACAAACGTGAAGTTGGAATCCACTACACGCCAGAAGGAAAACAGTACGATGATGAATCTATCGTGTCAGATTTGGATGACAAATTTGATGGCATCCTTGGTCTGCCATGGCTTAGAAAGTACCGGCCATGGGTTAGCTGGCAGCATCGATCCGTGAAGATGCCTGCCGTTTGTTCATCGGGTCTCCATCTGATGAGCGTCTTGGAGCGTCCACAAGCGTGTGGATGTACTACGAGTGAGTGCGATGGCCTCACTTGTGGTACGGTCGTTAGTACGATTGCACAAGCTCACAGTGTAGAAGGCCACTACACTGTGGAACCAGCTTCCGGCACCTGTGTAGAGACACAGGCTGCGCCGAATGTTCACCACTCGAAAAGACAGAGTGGACTGGAACACGAATGCACACCAAGAAGGTTGCATCCGAGAAGAGAGACCAGTGTTGTTCAGTATGGACAACACGTTGAAGCGAGATCGACTATCAGAGAGTCGATCGTCGAGCAAGCCCGCTCGACTGAAAGAGAGTCGATCGAAGAGGACGTGACCGTGATAGTACCCGTATCGGAAGAAATTTCCGGCGTTCCTGAGAGCAATAACTCCCGAGAGAATTATGTTGAAGGTGTATCCCAACCACCTGCGAATGTGTTTTCCCAGAAAATCACCGAGACAGTGAATGTCTTGGTGAATGACGGATCAAGTGTAGGCGCTTATGCGCTTAATCTGGTTACACCTCCGAAGTCAGCTTCGGAAGTAATCAAGTTGCCAACGCTAGAATTCTAGAAGATTCTTGCGAGATCTGTGTAGTGACAAGATCAAGCAGATATGCGTACTCGTCACAGAGGACGAGTACGTCGCCGATATTCGGTCGGCACAAGTGTTTGCTGAGAACTAACGGGTTCTCAGTAGCTCATCGATGGACGAGAGTGTCCTCGATGAGAAGACTCGGATTGAGCGGTACACGTCTCAATCTTGGGAGTCTTTGGAGGTAAATCCTTCGTATGACGATTTGGTTGAATTCAGGGGTGTTTCCCGAATCCGTGCCATGCGAGCTGCTCAAGGACAAAGGCACTCGGCATGAGATCGAAATGAAACCTGGTTCGAAATATTATGTCATGAACTAGTGACCACTGCCTCGTGAACAGGTCACAGCAATCGACAAATTCTTTGCCGATTGTTTAGCGGCTGGCCATCTGAGGGAATCAACATCCCCACACAGCTCTCCGACCTTCTGTGCGCGAAAGGACACATGAGGGTGGCGGATAGTGCACGCGTTCAACAAACTGAACGCTGCAACGGTACCGGCTCAAACGCCGATCCCAAGGAAGGACATCATCACAGATACTTTGGCAAAGAGTACCACCTTCTCGTCCATGGATCTGATAGATGGATTCTATCAGATCCTATCATCAGATCCTCATGCGTGAACGGGAGATCTGGTACACAGCAGTGGACACTCCCAGTGGTATGCTCTGGGAGTGGCTAGTGATGCCACAGGGGCTAAGTAACGCCCCTGCAACGTTCAACAGATGTGTTACGAATCTATTGCGATCGGTGCGGGACTTCGCACCGAGTTACTTCGAAGATGTCTTCGTTCATATCCGGGATATGGATGTAAAGACGGAAGTGGAGGTTCATAGAATCCACGTCCGGAAGGTTCTTACGCTAATGCGAGAGCATAAGTTGTTCGCGAGCCTCAAGAAGTGTATCTTCGTAGCGAACGAAATACCACTTCTTGGCTACATCGTGGGAAAAAACGGTGTACGCCCTGATCCGGAAAGATCAATGCGATTAGCGACTGGCCTGTGCCAGTGACGTCAAGGGACTTCGGATAGGCCTTGGCTTGGCGGCGTACTTGCACAAGTACTCGCGCAACTATGCCGATATGACCGTACATCTCTCTCGTCTACTAAAGAAAATGAGAGGTGGTCATGGAGTGCTGAGTGTCAGCACTACTTTAAAGGTATCAAGAAAAGCTTGGCACAATCGCCTGTGTTGGCGATTGCAGACCAAGGCAGACCATTCCATGTGGTCTGTGACACCAGCGATTTTACGATCGGCTGCGCTTTATTACAGTACGACTCAGACGGCGTTGAGCGCGTCGTCTATTATCATTCGCGTCAGCTGCAATCAGCTGAGCGTAATTACCCGGTGCATGACAAGGAACTCCTTGCCATGAAATATGCACTGGCCAAGTTTCGAGTATATCACTTAGGAGATAGGCCCCTCATCGTTCATACCGACCATGCGTCGTTACGCACGGCCGTAAACAGTCCACACCTCTCGCAACGACTGGCGAGGTGGCTGGATTTCTTCGCGAAGCACAACTTCTCCGTCGAGCGTAAACCAGGACGACTGAATGTCGTCGCTGATACTCTTTCGCGTCGGCCCGATTTCGAGCCGACTGCTCAACCCAGCAGTCGGGGTGATCCCACCGTCGCGACACTAACAGTGAATGTTCCGTCGTCAAATCTGCTCGACGATGTGCGAAAAGAATACGCAGAAGATGAGCCTATTCTGCGAGTGATGGATTACGTGTCTAATCTACGTAGTAGAGCTTTGAAAAGCTTGACGTCTCAATAGCACTCTTCGACCGAACGGTATTCTGTTCGTGATGGACTGCTGCACTATACAGCAGTCAACGGCGACACACCTCGTGTCGTCGTTCCGGCTCATAATTATTTGCGATTGCGCATCATGTGTGAGTGTCACGATTTCCCACCAAGTGGGCATCGCGGTAGAGACAAGACTTACCTCACGGTGAGTCGTGACTTCTTTTGGCCCCGCCAGAATGAGTTTGTGCGCACATTCATACATTCGCGCTTGCAAAGTTTGTCAACGGGTGAAGCCTATTTCTTCATCCCGTGCAGCCTTTCAGCCTCTACCGATTCCGTCTGAGTGCTGGTAGTCCGTATCGATGGACTTCGTCTTCGGGTTTCCCAAGGAAGCTCACAAGAATACTGGTATTCTTGTGTTTTTTTGTCGGTTCAGCAAGATGTACCATCTTGCTGCAGTACCGGAGTCAATCACAGCCCAGGGCTGTGCTCGTGCCTTCATCGATAATATCTTCCAAATGCACGGTTTACCCCATGAACTCGTGTCCGATAGGGACCCCCGCTTCACAGCGGAGTTCTGGCAATCCGTGTTCCGTTCACTTGGCACAAGTTTGACGATGTCAACTTCTGACCATCCCGAAACAGATGGTCAGACGGAACGCGTCAACCGCGTTCTCGAAGAGATACTTCGAGGGTACGTCCACTCGTTTACGCATCGATGATGATGATGACGACGATGCTGGTATATTCAGTATCGCCAACGACTGCCACAGTAAGGACGGTGACGCCCTCACTAGTGAAGACAAAGTTCTTTCAGCGTGCACAAGAAGTGCACTGCTGTTGACAAGGATGAAACAGCAGTGGAATTTCTGCTGACTCACGAAGCGGTTGTACGCTTCATTCAAGATCCTATTGCAGACGCAATAGACAAGTAGGAAAGAAGCGCAGACAAACATGGAAGACCAAACGTTCTTTCATTTAACGAAGGAGATTTAGTTTTACTGTCTACAGTAAATCAGCCAAAACGCTTAGTGACAAACATGGGCAGCAGTAAATTACTGCCCAAGTACATCGGTCAATTTCGTGTGTTGCACTTAATGGGCAATGCACACACGATTGAACTGTCCCGTACGATGCGTACGCATCCTACGATTTACGTCGGTCTTATCCGCCCGTACTATCAGTACGAGCCCGTTTGGAGATGCGAAGAACACCTCCGCGGTCAAGGGCCGAGACCACCTTCGAGTGGTCCCGTTTCAACGAGCCAGTCTGGTCGACTAGCGAAGCGACCTGTTCGCGCAGTTCAGCGATGTCCTGATGAGCTGCAGCCAGCTCGTCACGAAGAGAACGAGTCGAACGTTCGTTCTCAAGTTGCGCGAACGCAAAGGCGGCACGATCGTTCGAACGATCGTGCATTAGGGAATTATAACGATCCCTTACAAGATCCTCAAGTCCATAACGCCGAGTCTGTTTATGAGCCAGGTCATCTTGCAACTGTTCCGTTACACGGTTCAACTCTTGAACATTAAGCTGATCCGACCCTCGAGCGGATCAGGTGTTCCCACCGCCACCACATCCTTTGGTAGATTCTGGAGGTGGTCAACGCTCTCTGGTAGAGCGTATTTTGAACCACCGCGACGTGAATGGCGTCTGGATGAGTAATCTCGTCCGCTGGAGTGGCTATCAACCGTCTTAGGACAGCTGGGAGCCCCGTTCCCAGCTGATCGTTGATGTCCTTGATCTCGCCGAGCAATACGACACGACCCACCCGTTGCGTTCGAAGAAGGGCCGTCGGAAAACGACCTCCCCGAACGCGAGTACAGGGATTACAAAGTGTCAATCCCTTTGGTCATCTCAGAAGAGATGCGTCCCTCCAGTAGGAAACATTAGGGAGGTAGGCCTCTTTAAAGAAAAGATTCGAGTATGCCAGGCAACCTAGACACGAATCGCCCCACGAGATCCAGGGTAGTCCTGCATCTCTTTACAGCCGGTGCTACTTAAATTGCGCCCCGAATGGGATACGCTTCTCTGTCGCACGTGGTGACCCACCACGTGGACTATTCGCAACAGCAGGCCAAGCATCACCTGCTGCTGAAGCAATGAAGAACTCTCTTCACCACGTGGACTGTTCGCAACAGGCCACGTGTTGCTGAAGCAAAAGAATAACTCTCTTTGGCCTTTTAGTAGATAAATTAATTGATCTGAAAAATAATATAAAATTAAAAAAAGGTAAAAAAGTAATCAAAGGAATTAAAAATTTATGTTCTAATTCAAATAAATTTAATTGTAAATAAGTCGTTATTTTATTTTGTTTCATATATTTTGTATTTGAAAGCCTACTTGGTAAAATTGGTAAACACGATAGATTCAAAATTTATTCCCAATCAAAGGGTTATTGGTTCAAGTCCAGTAGTAGGTGTTCTTAGAATTTTATCAAAGTGGTGAAATTGGTGCTTTTCTTGCTGCTTCGGCAGCACATCGCATAGACTTTGACACCATGCGATAAATTGGCATAAAAGTAAGGATTTGACCAACAAGTGCTCTCTTGATAGAGTGATCCAACGGTGATCCAACGGTGATCACCCTGTCCCGATCAATTCTAATTCAATCAACGGGTGAATGCTTTTTAGAGGGGGTGATGTTACGGGGTAGCCCGTTACATGATATTGACAACAAACGGTTTCAAAACGGAATATTGTTTAGCATTACAATTCCATACCAATATTATCCGAGATGGATAATGTTGAAGGAATCTTATCCCCTTTAGATAATATTCATGCGCTGCTCCAAGATTGGTTGATAAAAGACATATCAACCATAGATTGCCACCAATCGCTGCTAGACGCGCGTAATGAGTGGTGAGCAGGTTGTCGTCATACGGCAATGTAGAATATAGTAGGTAGATAAAGATTACAGTTATATTGATGGCTTAACTCTATTAAATACGGTTCTCTTTTCACCCTATACTTAATGAGCTGTTTGAGTAGACTAGCTTCCTCTGCACGTACTAGTGTACGCAAAGTTTCGCGGTACCCCAAGCAAAGGGAGCTTCGTTGCACGTAACTTGTATATGCGACATACAATTGTATTTATGTCTGTGATACTGATATGGTGGTTAATCTCAGTCATCCTTTGATGATAGATTGATGTGCCATCCGACACATTAATTACTAATAGACCGAAAATTACTATGCGAATTAGTTTAACCTTAGTATAAAGTTGAATGAG